CAACAATCGGGGGAGGCCTGCCGGACCCCAGCCACACAAATTTTTGTGCACTGGGCCTCTAGTGTGCATATAACTATACACAGGAAAAGTCTTTTGTTTCCCACTGGGTGGAGAAGCACTGGTGGGTCCTGAAGCCAGAGCACTTTGATTTAAACCCATTTTTTTTACATATATCTGTCTGACCTTGAAAAAGATACTTAAGCCCATTGTGTCTCAGTTTCCTAATCTGTAGACAACAGTATCACCCTCACAGGATTGTTGTGAAGTTTAAATGAGTTTATAGGTGCAAAGCACTTAGAACAGAGTAATTGTTAGCTACTACTATTATCTGGTATTTAATGAATTCTTGAGTTACATGACACATAATTTAAAACAGTTTACTACATTTAAATAATCAGTTTGGCCACTCATAGTTTCACCCCTATCATAGGGTTCTGTCTCTGAGAAAAGGAAGCTGCTACTGCAGTCACATATCTCTCAATGGAGGCAGTGGGACAGTGGAAATACCAACAGCTTTGGCACCACACAAACCAGTGTTCAAATTCTGGCTCTGAATATTAGCTTCTACTTCTCTCCTCTCTAATTTAGCATGTTCTTGATTTTTTATAATTACTCAGAGATGAAACATAATATTCAAATTCAAACCAGAATTTCCAAATGATAGTTTACTAAGAATCATAACTCAAACTTTTAGCCATAAAGGTGAAGTTGGGAAAAAAAGAACATATAGAGAAAAAGAGACTCATATTAAAGGGAATCTTTTTAAAAATCTGTATCAATATATATACATATCTATATCTAAAATATCACAGAAGACAGAACATTAGAAAAATCTTATTCTTGCCTATGTTATTTAGGAATTGCAATATCCATTTAATAGTCAAATCATGCAATTAATCTTGGCAGGTATGACCATATTTTTAAAAATGCTTTGACTAGAAAAGCTTAAAATTTGTTTTTCTTACTCCTTGAGCCTGATGTGGTGTGGATAGGTAAGTCCTTCGCTGTTCTTCTCAAAATTTCTTGTTGACGTTCTTGGCTGAATTCTTTTTCATAATGTTCCCTTTCAGAATTGGACAAGTAGAACTATAAAAGTAGAAATAACTATTAATACTTTTTAATCCCGAAATTATTAACTATCGTGCTTAGAAAAAACAAAGTTTTATCCAGAACAGAAAAAGACACACACACGCAAAAATTTTCTTCTATGAACGCAAAATTTGTCTTCAAATTTCTTTAAGAAGCTAAATCAATTATATTTTAACTATACTACATACTTTCTTTCCTTGTCCCTTTGGTTTTTTTTTTTTAATCTTTATTGTTGAAAGTATTACATATGTCCCCTTTTTTCTCCTATTGACCCCTGATAGCCTGCCCTCACCCCTTGCCTCCACCACCCTATTGTCTGTGTCCATGGGTTATGCATATATGCACACAAGTTCTTTGGTTGATCTCTTCCCACCCCACCCCCACCTTCCCTCTGAGATTTGACAATCTGTTCCATGCTTCTATGTCTCTGGATCTATTTTGTTCAACAGTTTATTTTGTTCATTAGAATCCACATGAGTGAGATCATGTGATACTTGTCTTTGTCTGACTGGCTTATTTCCCTTAGCATAATAATCTCCAGATCCCTCCATGATATCTCAAAGGGTAAGAGCTGCATAGTATTCCATGATAAAACTACATACTTTTGATAGATTAAAAAATATTTGCTCTACTTAATGAAGGCAAAAAAGATCCAACTAAATATTTTTGCATCTTTCTTTCTTTACAGAGAAAATTTAATTCCTCCAGCAAAAAGGTAATGAAATAGGTAGCAGTAAAAATTTTAGTGTTTGTCAAGAGATTTTTAATTTTTGGGAAAATGTCTGAACTACGCATAGTCTCTTTTTCTCAAGCAAGGACTCCTTTATGTAGTGGTTTCTAGTTTTCATTTCCTAACTGTTTATTCCCATGGTGTATTCTACCTGTAGTTCACCTCTTAAATAGCATTTTCCCTAAAAAGGACTTCAGTTGCTCTCTGATATCATCTCAGAAGACTTATTTCACTTAGCATGATTTTAAGGAACCCCAGTTTTATGCTTCTATTCCATGTAACCAGGAACTTTACATTTCTATCCGTCTTTATTTCACAAAAGTCTTTTGAAACTCAAAATGACTTGAGATTTGCTCTTAATCATGTTTTATATTTTAACAATAACCTTACTCAATTTTTACTTATGTACATGGTTTTGCTCGAAAGGCCTAAGGAATCATGAATGGAATTTTAACCTTTTATATTTACACTAGAGGCCCGGTACACAAATTCATGCATGGATGGGGTCCCTAGGCCTGGTCAGTGATCAGGGCCAATTGGAGCCATCTCACTCAGTCCCAATTGGGGCCTGCTGGCCAGGAGAAAAAACCTCAGGAGGTTGGCAGTGGGAATGCACTGACGGTCCAGGGGGCAGCTCCTGCATTGAGAAACTGCCACATGGTGGTGTGCATCATAGCGACTGGTTGATCGGTTGTTCAGACTGAATGCTCACTTAGGCTTTTATTTTATTTTTATTTTTGGATATTTTATATTTTAAGTTGTTTTATTGCTTAAAGTATTACAAAGAGTATTATATATGTCTCCTTTTTTTTTCTCCCCTTGACCCTCCCCTAGCCTCCCATGCCCCCCAGTGTCTTGTGTCCATTGGCTATGCTCGTATGCATGCATACAAGTCCTTCGGTTGATCTCTTACCCCACCCCGACCCCTCAACCCTTCCCAGCCTTAACGTTGTAGTTTGACGGTCTGTTCGATGTTGCTCTGCCTCTGTATTTATTTTTGCTCATCGGTTTATAATGGTCTTAATTATCCATAACTGAGTGAGATCATGTGGTATTTTTCCTTCATTGACTGGCTTATTTCACTTAGCATAATGCTCTCCAGTTCCATCCATGCTGTTGCAAATGGTAAAAATTCCTTCTTTTTTATAGCGGCGTAGTATTCCATTGTGTAGATGTACCAGTGCCACAAGTTTTTTAAAACGTGCAATCCCTGACTAGTCAGGGGCACTGGTCCCTTTTTTCTTAGATTGTCAAATTAAAAATGACAACAGCTGCCTGGCCAGCATGGCTCAGTGGTTGAGCATCGACCTATGAACCAGGAGGTCATGGTTCTATTCCCTGTCAGGGCTCATGCCCGGGTTGTGGCCCGATCCCCAGTGTGGGGGGTTCAGGAGGCAGCCAATCAAAGATTCTTTCTCTCTCTCTCTCTCTCATCCTTTATGTTTCTATCTCTCACTCCCTCTCCCTTCCTCTCTAAAATCAATAAAAATATTTTTTAAG